CCACCCCAGAGGTCCTGACCTGCCAGTGATTTCACCAGCAGCTTCACAGGAGCGTGTGCTGTGGTTTGTGTTTCTCTAGACATCAAGATCCAGCAGATAGCAACCAAGAAAGCTGGATCACAGGAAGGGGAATAAAACAGAGAGGAAATCACGAATGGAAATTGGTCCTTTGGATGCAGAGGTTCCACCATGGGTGTCAGAAGGGGCTGCAACTCTTGCTGCCATCTTGTGAGGAGTCATGACCTGGGGACAGCTTGTGCAGCGGGGTCCCTGCCTGCCCAGAGGCCCTTGGCACTCCAGGTCCTATTTGAGACTCAGTGACTCTTTGGCAAGCCATTATGCATTCATTCACTATAAAACCCACTTTGCATTTTGTCCCAGGGGAACCAGGCACCACCTATGATTCTCTGCACAGCAGATCCTTTCCAAGTTGGCCTTTCTGGGACCTGTGGATGGGAGGAATGATGATCAAGGCACTACATCAGCTGTGCACAACCAGCCCCTGTTACAGACACCCAGTGCTGGGCTTGGGTCAGTCCCATGAGTTTCTTTATGTTCAGTTTGGGGGATCACAGTTTCAGCTCCTCTGTAAGTGCTGGATGCTGGAACTGAGTCTCGTGATGGTTATGCATCACATAAACTCACTCCTGCAATAACAATGAATAAAGGATAAGTCCCATGGCACTGAATCTATCTAATCTAATGGTTTAGACCTGTGCAGTTGGGGATTAGAAAGACAGCCTGATATACCTGGCTGCTGAACACCATTTGCTGTTTACCTTTGCTGGAGGAGGACTCAGATCTATGGTGACAAACACTTGCAGGGTGAGGGAACAGCAGATGAACAAAGCGAGAAGACACAGCTTCACTGGAAACCTTGTAAACCACCGACTGCAGTAAAAGTCAGTGCAGGAATTAAAAGCTGTCATTTCAGAAAGACATAAAAGCATCACCTCTTCTTTATCTGGATTCCCTGGCTGAGCTTGAAGCAGAGATTTTCTGTTTTCCAGGAGGTGTTTCAGAGCACTCCTTTGAGGTGCACAAACCATCACACTTTGGAGAGAACATAATTCTGGGACAAAGCTTTTCATCTGCTCTGTAGTGAGCTCCTGAGGGGATGCTGCACATAGCATCTTTCTGAGTCATTCCAACACTCCTTTATAGAAGGTTTTCTTACCATGTAGCCACAGTTTTACTGCTACCTTGGCAGGCCATGATGTACATACCTCTATGTGCAAAGTGACCTGTTGCAGTAACCACTTGAGTGGATGTAGCAAGAAGCTCTCCTGAGCCACGACACCTGGAAGTACACACACGTACTCGCAAAGCCTGTGCAACTACAGTGAGGTTTATCTTATATGATAAAGTAACACAACACTTACTTTGAGGAAGAGGAGACAGGCGCAATGTCTCAGACTGCAGGACATCCGCAGCACCCATGCTCCAGTGCCCTAGACAGGTCTTACAGAAGGTACAGTAACAGTGAGACAGCCAGGGAGTGTATTTCTCTTTCTTGAAAGATGTATACCCCATTGCACACATGGTGTGTATGATCATAGGCCCCCAGTAGAAAGCTCAACATGCAAAGCAATGCTGTGGCTCACTGTAAGTCAGTGGCTGGATGCAAGAGCTCCTCTGCAATCTGGGAGAGCACCTTAGACTGAAGCCAGATACTCAAAACCTCCAAGTGCAGCAGGCCACAGAGTTAAGGTCAGATAGGGTGTAAGAAGCCATGGTTAGGAGCTGTAGGTGTGCTAACTGAAGTATGAGAACGACCCTGCCTTCCTGAGCTGATACTTGGAAATGGAAGCTGAAGATCTGAGGTTGAAGCGCTCCCTGACCCTCATTTCTCCTCTAGCAATCATTTGGAAGCTCATGTAACTGCTGAGGTGACTCAGACTTTTCAGAACAGAACTTTAAGCTTAGATCCAAAGTCTGTAGAGCCTCCCGAGGGTGGTTATTCACAACTGGACAGTGTAGCTGCACTAATCCCGAGCCAGGCCCATAGAGGTCAGGTTTTGACTAGCTGCTCTTCATCCTGCCTTCACTTCTAGGGGGTACCAGATATTGATGCAATGTTCACACTCGCTGAGGCAGAGGAGCCTGCAGATTTCATCAATTTAGCTGCCTGCTCAAATCCTCAACACTTGCGTGGGTTCTGCTATGAGAAGTCAATGAGGAACTCCCATCGCTTCCAATAGAAGCAAGCTAGAAACAAAATAAAGCACAATAGTAGCCTTTTAAGCAAGCTTTTAGCCAGCTCCCCAAGGATGCAGCCAGACATGCTGTCTATGCCAGGTCAGCTTCAAAGCTGTTAGCTGAGAGTGCTCAGGGCAGCCACAGCCTGAGCTAATAAAAGAGCATCTTCCACAGCCAAGCTGCAAACTCCTGCCTACTCCTAACTCTAGGAAGATGCTGGGGCTCTTCCAAGTGCATCCTTCTGCTTTAGAGCATCGGGTGGGACTTTCAAGGACTGATGCAGATCAAGCCTTGCACATCCCATTCACTTTGTTTCTTGCAGAAACCATCAAAGCGACTCTTGGAAAGCCATAGTCTTCTGTATGAGAAGTCCAGTGCAGACCGGCATCCAGTTCCAGCTCTGCTACATGTGCTGAGCAAGGCACTTGGTTTTAGTGTGCCACTGATCCCTTCCCTACTATCTGACTATCTTTGCTATTGAGTTGCTTCGGAATTGCTTCTTACTTTGGATTTCCACTGTGCTAAGCTGAATGGGCTTTTGATGGAAGCCATGGACTCAAGATGCTAGCTCACAGCATCCTGTGTTACAAGAAAAAAGGTTTGCATATGATGACAGAGTGAACTGATCTGATAAAAGGCTCTTTAGTCACTAATTCAAGTTGTGCAAGATTAAGAAACATTTCAGCAATTACAGAAACTGTGTTAGGCCCATAGCCATTTCAAAGAACTCTTTCTTGTCTTCACAATATTACTCCTTTTGGCTATTTGTTGTGGAGGGGTATTAGGTAATTTATGCTTTCAGAGTCACCAGTGGCTCCCAAACAAGCTTTTTAGGGCTGTGCCTTGTTTTCTTTACTTTAGTAATGGGAAAGCCTTCCAGGGACTTTCAGTCCATCTTTTTACCCCAGAAAAGGAGCATCAGCTGATTTTTTCAAGCTTTCAGACATCATCTGCCTAGGGAAGAAAAGAGCCTGAGCAACACTAGGGACATAATTATCAATATGAAGCTGCGATACCGACAAGGATAAGGCTGCTACATTAAGTCCTCATTTTGATCCAGGGTGTTTGGTCAAGGCCAGCTTCCTTAGAGGGCACAAGCCCAGAAGGGATGGTCTCCAGGAGAGGTTTGCCATCCTCATCCATCCCTGCACTCCCATATCTCATCTCTGGGAGCTCTGAAGTGCACCTCATGGGGGCAGCCATCCTCACAGCACAGGGCCATCGGTCCCTCAGTGGAAGGTGTATGGGAGGGACATGTCCATGAGCAAGCAAGTGGACAGAAGTGGCTGCTTGTCACTTCTTGCCACGGGTTTGATACTGCCTATTCTTGCACCCACTATCAGAGCAAGGAACTTGGCTGATATGAGGTTTTATTTGCAGGAGGGCCATTTGTGAATGTTTAGCCATGTCCTGGCTGAGGTCAAACCCACGGAGCAGCACCTTACCTGCCGAGCTTCATTTCAAAACCCACCACATCCATTTGCATTTCTCCTCTCAGCTCCATCCGATGCAGCACAAAGACACAGCCCATGCTTCTCAAAACAACCAGCTGCCAGCCTCCGGCTGCCTTTCCTTTGCACCAAAATCCATTACAAAGCATCCTCTTAGCTCGTGGGAACACTGAGAGCCTTTTTATGTCAAGAAGTTAAATCTTGTTACTCAGCTGGCATTAATTTCCCTCATTTAACACCAAAGCTTTTGATCCTTTCCTGTTAAAAAAAATTATGCACCAAAGCTAAATCATTCTTGTCTTCTCCTTTCCAGACAAGGAAGAACAGACAACGAAAAGGGATGCAATGTTTCGCTGGCTCACTCAGCTCTCTTGGTAGAGGCTTGTTAAATTCTTACAGGGGACATTCTATTCCTGGGGTATGAGACTGCTTTTTGTTCTCCGAAGAGGTGTTGTTGGGCTAAATGTTAGCTCTGAGCCAGGGCCTCATAGGTAGTAATAAAAACAAAGATTAGGATGATGAGCATTTAATACTGAGGCTCTGGCACTAACCGAGCCCATGGCCGGATAGCCAGTATCACTTAGCTCCAATGCAAACACTATATTGGCCACCCTTATTCCTCACCATCACTAGTCTGGACTACCTCTTAGCTTACCTGGTTTCTTCACAGCCTGATGATACAACAGGCTCAGCACTGCCAATGATGGATCTGAAATTCCTCCCATAGTGATCACCCAATGAAGAAGTCAGCTGGAGGAGGAAATAAAACCCCTTCTCTCAGAAGGCTCAATGGTGGGTTGCAAACCACACAGGCTGACTTTTTACTGAAGGCTGCAACAGGTTTATGGTCAGTACTGATTGTGAAACCCATCCCTGGTATCACTGCTCAGGGATGAAGCACCCTGGGGTACCAGGGAGAGCCAAGGGAGCTGACTGGCCATGCTGTGCCCTGAAGGGAGATGTGGCTGCACGTTTTTGAGCAGTTTCCCCATCATCACCCCACAATGGGGTGAGAGATGATGGAGAAGTCTGGGAGAGCACAGGCTGCCTTTCCCCAGCGTGAAGCTGGGCTGGGGGCTGCACCCTTGTGCTAAGTGGTGTTGGGGCCTCAGGACCCACTGAGATCCAGTCGGCACACCCTCGCAGAGCACGTACAGGAAGCCCTGAGCACAACATTTCACTCCATGGATCATTTCTACAGAGGGGTGAGATCAGCCAGGTTCAGATAGGACTTTATTCCATATAAAGGGACCAGCACAGAGTATTCAGGCACTTGGTGTTATCTCTGGGTGTGGTTCACGCCTGCTTTCCTCATGAAGCACCAAGCCCTTTCTTCTCCTAAAGCACTGCTCATTTTGTGGTTTTCACATTTCTGATCTGCTGCAGCAGGTCAGACATAAGAGTGAGGCTGACTAACAAGATCATGAAGTCTTCAAAATCAATTTTGTTCTCCGGCTCCTCATCCAGGGCAGAAATGATTTCCTGGTATTTTGGTTTGTTTTCTTGTCCCTACGGAGAATTGTAAATGGGAAAAAAAAAAAAAGAAGATTAAAAAGTTCCTTTTCTATCGCATCATACAAAAAGACACCTATATAAAAATTCATGTATTTTCCTATCTTCGCAGTTAGGTTTTTACTCCCACATTCATACTAGTTTTCCTAAAGGCATCCCAAGAAACTCAGACAGGAACATAATTGCAATCAGACAGAACAACCAGTCCCCAAAGGTTTCCACCTGAGCCCAGAATACATCTTTAAAAGGCACCTTGTCATGGCTGAAAATCTGGCAGCGATGATGATGCAGCTGGTAACTGCTGGGAAAAATGGAGCCCTGTGTCTTGATGAAACCAACCCACCCTCCTACCTTCATATTCAAGAGAGTTTCTCAAATACATTCTGTGAATGTCTCAGAAACTGTTGATTTTACAGACATAACTTCAGCAGCTTCTATTCTCTGTCCTGCCAGACATTACTGTTGAAATGGAAGGGATTATTACAATTATGTATCATGCCTGTTACTCGTATTTCCGTATATATAAAAGAAACAAAAAAGCTACAGGATTTATTTTTTAGCTTAATAATCTTCAAAACATCTCAGACTCCAGATTTGACTGGCTACTGAGATTTGCACATCATTTTCCATGAGGAGCCTGGTTTCTAATTAGCTGCCAATTCCCCCTTCACAACCAGTCACGTTATTTTGTAATTCTTGGAAGCAAAAGTATTGTCAAGAATGTCCTAAACGTCTCATTTACTGAGTTGAGCTATTTTCAATAGCCCTGTGTTGTTTATTCTGCCACCTTGAACACTGCCAGGGATGGAGCATTTACCACTTCTTTGGGCAACTTATTTCAGTGCCTCACCACGCTCACAGGGAAGAACTTCTTCCTTATACCTAACCTGAGGGCCATCTTATTCTTCCTTATACCTAACCTGTTTCTCATCATATCAGGCTGCCATCAACACCCCCATGGTGCTTTCCACTCCCTTACTCCCAGCAGCCCCACCAGTGACCGCAGTGTGTGCTGCTCTGAAGCACGGGTCTGGATCTCCTGTACCAGATCAGTCAGTGTTTTGGCAAACTACCAAACACCCCATTAAACACCATGGGATGACAGGACAAGGGGGAATGGCTTTAAACTAGAAGAGGGTAGATTTGAATTAGATACTAGGAAGAAGCTCTTCCCTGTGAGGGTGCTGAGGCGTTGGCACAGGGTGCCCAGAGAAGCTGTGGCTGCCCCATCCCTGGCAGTGTTCAAGGCCAGGCTGGACACAGGGGCTTGGAGCAACCTGCTCTAGTGGAAGGTGTCCCTGCCTGTGGCAGGGGTTGGAGCTGGGTGAGCTTTAAGGTCCCTTCAACCCAAACCAGTCTGTTATTCTATGATGGTTTCTTCTCTTCATAAATACAGTCTGTTGTCATCACCTGAGGTTTTTTTGATTTATTTTTCTCCCCAAATCCTTATTTCCTTAAAAAACCGCCCAGGCAGGCACATCAACTATAATTTATTGCTGCTTCTCCTCCTTTAGCCATGCGTTAGGCCCAGTCTCAACATAAAGGACATAATTCACTGAAAGTGTTTGCACCAAATCACTGAAGCCTCACTTGACGTTACCCTTATGGAGCGATGCCCAACTTCAGGACAGAGCCAGAGGTACCATTCCTGCACCCAAAGCACCCAGCCAGTGCCATCCCACCACCACCCTTCTCACCCAATCCCCCTCACCTGTATGAAACCCCCAAACTGGGTTTGCAGCAAGCTTTTGGTTTCACCATTGCTGAGCTTGCCCTCGGTGTCAGCAGAGTTGTTATACACCAAAGCCACAGTAGCAAAAGCTTTCTCAAGGTCTGAGCCTTTTCCTAGAGCTGGAGGGGGGGAAGTTATCAGCCTATCAGAAAAAGTGGCATTTGAAATATAATCGAAAGGAATCTGTCAGAACCATCCTGAGTGGGTGGAAATCTGGGTAGTTTCATTAAAGTTAATGAGACTGAAACTGTTTATACCCACAGAGGACCTGGCCCAGTTTTTATTTGGAGTGGGCCAGCAACATGCCTCATGTCCCATGGAAACATGCCCTGAGAGGAAGCTTTTGGGGCAGCAATGCAGCATGACATGAAATTCTTCATGTCTACTCCTACCACTCTTGTCCTCCAACGGCTGAGGGTCTGCACGGCCTCTGCAGCTCTCCTCATGAGGATTTACTGGCCTTGTAAGACCTGAACCCAAAGGGGGCAATGAATTAGTCCCCTTACCTTTTATTGATGCCAGCTGCTTGGCTATGGGTATGCTGGTAGGGAGAGAGAAGACAGGCACAGTTATCATCTAGTGAATTGTGTGTGTATATATAGTTTCTCCATGAGTGAGCTTGCTCATTTCTGTTTCATTTAATCCCCCAGAAACTCAGGGCTTCCCAAGGGAGACTGGCTTTTCTTCACAACTGAAAGGAAAGTGGTCTTCACAGGCAGCTCTCAGCATCACACAGCTCCCAATTCCTCACCTAAGCAAGTAGCCTGGAGCTGTTATTAAAGGTGCTTATTAAATAACTTTCAGAGAGGGGCATTGCAACATCCTTCAAGTAATTTCTTCAGAACTTGAAAGAGCTTCTGAGTTTTAAGCCCATCCCCAGGGAAGTCCAGAGGGGTCTGTCATCCCCCACTCACCAGTGCTCCCACTTTGGAGCAGACACATAGCTTCTATTTCCACATCAGTGAGCAGCACCTCCCTGCTTCCTATTAAAACATACAGCCTGCTTACTTTTGCCAGAGTGCTGGAAATAATTACAGAGCAGCCAACACACAACAGAAGAGTTTGTTTGTGATAGAGACAAATACACCCAGATAGTGAACTTACCGCTTGGGCATGTCTGCTGCAGCCAAAGGGCTCTTTTTGGTGGGTGCAGGAGCTGGATTGTTGACCGAGTACTGCTTCGTGCTGGGGACACTGGCTCTGCAGCCACACATCTCGAGGCCGGGATGTTTGTGATCTCTAAGCAACCCGAGTAATAGCAAACAGGTGAATTCAAGCTCAGCCCTGTGAAAGCAGCCTGCTTGCAGCCCTGCCTATCAAGAGTGGAAGCACTACCTGGTGATCACAGAGCTGGCTGAACACATGGGTCGAAAGCAGTCCCTGTTGGCAAGTAGTGTGGCTTTTATTTGATGTGAGAATTTGGCAGAAACAAGCCAAACTAATGGAGCCTGAATCCTCTTAGATCTATAGGGATGTAACTGCATCAGGAATAACTTTAAGACACTGAATCCATTCAGCTATATACATTATCATTTCAATGGGAAATGTGTGGGCTGATGTAACTTGCCCAAAGCTATAAAGTGAGTTGTTCCAATAGATAGTCAGAAACCAACTGTTTCCCATTTCCTGACCCAGCATTTATCCCAGGTGAGCACACTCCTGCTCTAATACTTATTCCCCAATGCAGTGCAAAGAGATCTGTCCTTCTTCTGAACCTCTTGCAAAGCAGCATCCAGCGTGGAGCCTCTGCTTTGGTTTCTGTGTGAGCAGATCCTACCTGCTTCCAAAAGCAACACGGAGCCATATGGCAGAGCAGTCGCACATTGAGGAACTGGAAGGGCTCCGATGAACTTTGTTATTTATTGGCATGAACATTGCTATTAGAAAACACACAGCTTGTCACACTGCCTATCTCCATGCACAGAGATCCAGAGATTACTAGATGGGATAACTTCAACCTAAAAGACCAAGCAGCCCTTTTAATGCCAGGGTGGTCTGTTAATAAGTAGTGACTTCAACCACCTCACCCAGCTCATCATTCCTGGTGAAAGGATACAATGCTGATGTTAAAACTAGCCAGGATGAGACTTTATGTAACAGGACATGCAAAGGAGACTGCAACAGATGGCCTGGAGAATTAAAATGTTTTCCTCATTTAGTAGAAGCTAAATTACTGAAGGCTAATGAATAAGGATGTTCACCACCTTACTGTTCCTGGATTTTAATTATCTTAAAAAGCATGGGAAAAGAGAACCTTTAATTTTCCATCTAAGAGCGTCATTACTCAAACAATTCAGAGCCTTTTTCTGAGAGGTTTAAGCTGTCTTAGATCTCTAGTGCATTCTTTAGGACTGGTTCATGAATAAAACAGAGCCTGTAATTGCAATGACGCAGCCAAAACACATATAATCAATGCTCATTATCCCATCAATTAACACACTAAAATTAAACAAGAATTCAGGCTTAGTAATCTGCCATCAGCTAGGAAAAAAAAAAAGAGAGTCTTGATATCATGTTGAAGTGATAATTCCCTTTCACATCTGTTGAACCATACAAGGAGGCATGAAAAGCCTCAGATTCCGCTTAATCCACAGGCTGGTGGTGTTTGGTCTCAGTGTCCAAGGTAAAAATGAGGAGAAGCAGACTCTGCTGCATGTTTATCAGCCACAGGCAGTGCTGTGAGCTGGCTGGCAAACCCAGCCCTCTGTGTTTTGGGCTCTTTCCACTGTACATCAGATTTCAGCTCGCAGCCTTTTTAATCTAACCAACTCCTGAAAACCTGAGCTCTAAACCGGGTGATTTGCTTTGCTTAGGTAGTAACAAGTTCAAACAAGCCCAGGGTGCATTATCCCTCTGGGATATACTAGTCAGCATATGCAGCAGTGTTAATGCCTGGCAGGTAAAGGGTAGCATGAGGATAACCTTTGCCTTTGCAAATGATCAGCTTCGGAGACAGCAGGATTTTGGCTGTATGTGTTCTTTGAGTATTCTGGTCAGCAAGGTGTGCAGGGAGCCAGGCCATCTGCTCTGTGTCTATTTTCATACACACTATTTATGTTTGAAATATCCAGGTGCTTTTATCGGTCAATTTTTAGCATGTTTCACACGTTAACAATATTGTCTACCCCAAATACACAATCCGACACTTAAAGCTGCAAAATCTTTACAGCAGTTCACTTAAAATAATTTCCACTGCAAAAATCTTTGGCCTCTGCTTCACTTTTGGTGTTTTCCCAGAGTTTTCCCTCCCTTTTAAAAGTACTTTCTTCAATTGAGGAAGTTTTATGTTGTGAAACAGTTGTGTGTGTTGGAGCCCTGGCTCCCTTGGAGATGACCCTACGGCAGCAGGCAGGCGTGGGCATGCCCACAGCAGGAGGCAGAGAGACACAGGAGAATGTCTAAACCAGGAGTTTCAGTCACACCATTAACCGCTCAGACTTCATTTCTTCAGCTGATCCTTCAGCAAATGCAGAAGTGATGCTAATTTGCACCCAGGGAGGAAAAACACTTCCACCCCTGGCAGTGTTCAAGGCCAGGTTGGACACAGGGGCTTGGAGCAACCTGCTCTATGGGAAGGTGTCCCTGCCTGTGGCAGGGGGTTGGAACTGGATGATCATTATGGTCCCTTCCAACCCAAACCAGGCGGTGATTCTATGATCATTCTATGAATAGCTTGATTTCTTTGTGACCAGAATATGGTCATTTTGATCTTACATGATGTGCGTATTTTTTTCCATATCCATAGTTTTTCAAGACTGAGAAAGCCCCCACTCCACCTTAGCCCAAAACAGAACTGGCTGCCACAGCCTAATACTCTTTTCCTTTCGCTCTATCCCCTTGAAATCAATTACTTAACATGTGAAAAGCTAGCAGAAGCAGCAGGTCTAATGTGCTCAGTGTGGTTGGTCTCAACACCAGCCACAACCTGTGATGCCCCACTGGGGAAAGACCTCTTCTGCATGGTAGCATGCAAAGAGGAGACACAACCCAGCACAGGTCAATGAGAGATTTAACCAGCTCTAGGGATTAATGGATATTAATCCCTAGATTAATTAATGTTGCTGCTGCAACAAGCAGTCTGCTTTGCACAAATCTAACTTAACAAATGGCCACTGTACCCCTCTGGTCACAGAGCCCAGCTGGCTCCTGCTCACCAGTAACTGGTTTACCCATGCTAACATACTGCTAAGCATCCTGAGGAGGAGGAGAAATAAATTACTCCAGGAGGATAAATAAAATCAGAGTGTTTCCTAGTCTTTGTTTCTCCATCACCATGCCTTTGGGGTGGATGCTGCTGCTGCTTCCATCCGTACTGGGGTAGCTTAAGTGATGATCTGTGTGTCCCAGGAATATTTTCCTCGTGGCCATCACCATTTTAAAAACAACATCTCTTCACAGCCAATTTGATTTCGCTCAAGGGTGAAATCTGCACCAGTATTTACCTGCATCAGTTGGGCTGGTGTAGTTTGCTGACTGGTGCCTGATGATGAAGCTGGGACCAGCGCTTCTCTGAGTAATGCCAAATGATGGCATGTTCGATGGGTCCGTGCAGGGGTTGAGGTGAGGAGAAGACCTGGATGGGAGGCACGGATGGGTCAGCCCGTGAGCCCTTCTACACACATAGGAGATAGCTCAGCTTGACATTTAGCTCTGGGGTCATGAATGACTAAAATTTTTATGAATCCCATTGCTGAGACAAGAGCAGGTAGAATGTCATTTAAGAAAAGCTATTAGGACTGGTCTGTCTGCATCATTTGGCATCTCCTATCAAGGCATTTTTCAGACATGGTACAGCACTTTGGCCAAAACATGCCTGTGCATCATACGGGGGCTGTCAGGGAGCAGAGTGGCTGCGGGGATCCCCTCTGTGCAAGCACCCAGCTCCTCCAGTTTCTTTAACAAGGATGAGCCCAACATTCTTGGTATGGTATTCATTTCCAGAGGGAGGCCTGAAAATACACTAACAAAATAACTTTTTCCTCTGAGCAATGTTCTGTTATAGGACATTTAGACTCTGAAAAGGCAGCTATATTCATGAACCCCTAAAAATCTTATTAAAGAAGGACACAACAAGAAAAACGTAAGAAAAGAAACTGGTAGCTAAATGCAAGAAGGGGGAGGCATCCCTGCTGAACTACTAAAGTTCCATATCGAAATGCTAAGGTCTTCATACTAAGGATGTATGGCATTGGCAAATGATGGGATAGTCAGCGCCGGATATTAATACTACCCATTCACATTCATAAAGATTTTAACTCATATCTGGCTTAAAACTAGTAGACAGACGACTAAATGCTTATGACATGATATGGCATAATAGGGGAAGAACTTTTTCATAAAAGGATGGAAGAATGCATAGTGCTTTTCACTCAGTGGTTCTTCATCTGTCTGTAACATTAACTGTGAAACTCTGGAGATGATGTCAGGAGCAGACTATAGGCAGGTGCAACGTGGGTTGCATGCAACTGCCTCTGTCATCAGTACATCAGAGTTTCAGCCAAGAATACTTCAGGGCTAGAGCCCGAATTGCTCATTCAAATTGAGAGCATATACAGATTGGAAATAATTAGCCTAATCAGGTCAGGCAACTGCAATATGAATTCATGCAACAGGAGCACAAACTTCCTCCAAGTCCTGGCCATCACGGAGGCTCTGTTATGGGCAGCTCAACAGCCATGGTGAAGGAGATTTGATCAGGAAAGTATTGCACAACAAGAAAATATCTTGTCTAGTCAGGACACAGCCCTGTAGGCTGGATTTGCATCTGAACTTCTCCTTGGCTCCTTTAATGTGCTGGGCAGGGAGCAAAGCAGGCTGCAGAGCCACCGGGTACCCAGAGCCACGATCTCTGTTCTCCCCATGGAGGGTAAGATGCTGCAGCTTTGCAAAGTGCATCCCCTTCCCAGTCAAAAGCAATGGGGAAACCCTAAGCCAGCATGTGAGCATGATTCCTCTTCCTTGGCTTTTGAGGCACCTGGAGAGAAAGTCCTGTGCTTCCACTTCCTCTGCCACACTCTCAGAGGTACCTGAGAGTACACAGCTCTCCTACACAGCTCTACATTTGATAATGAAAATATGCTCCCATCCTGGGTAGCTGAGAAATGGGCTATAAAGAGAAACACATGGGAAAACAGGAGGGACAGCTCAGAAGATCAAGGAACATGTTTTTTTTTCTCCCAGGCTGACCTAGTTATTCAACTAACTGGCAGAGATA